TGCTTGTTAACCCTGTTGATAAAGCTGAAATCGTTCAATCGAATGGTATTTTATAATTTAGGGTAAGCATTCGAACGGACTAGGTCAGAGACCGTATTGCAGAACCAGATCTGAATCAGGGCATGGAACCTTCTTCCGTATCGTCGATTAATTGAAGAACACATGCACTAATCCGCTTCCCCATTTTTTCCACCGTTGTATTTTCGTTAGGTTATTTTTAATTAAGTGGCAATTTTTTTTTTCATAACGTAACCGCTTTAATACCTGCAGCGTGAGTAGAAATCGTATTGTACATCCATGTGGCGGAACAGTACTGTTAATTATGAGTTCAGCGCACTCGGGACGGCGAAGGATTTTAACTTTGCCGTTACGCTTCGTGACATGTTGAAAAGCATCGGATATTTGTAAGTTTTAACGAGTTATAACCTTTTAAAATGCTGTTTTGAGAACAACAAATATCACTTCTCTCTGTGCAAAATGTGTCTTACAGATCGACTAAAATATTATGTTAATAATAAAACTACAGAGTGTTGAGTAAGCCTACATACATCTTTCAAAAGATGAAAATTCACATATAACTACAAAAAATGTTTAAAGCCGGGAACACACTTACCCGATGCAACGCCATGCGACGCTACCCGATGCTACCCGACGCCTTTTCACGTTTTGGTAGGGTGTGCACATCTATGCGACGTTAAGCGCACGCCACGTACAGTCACACAGCGTGAATCACAAATCAGTATCACAATCGCAACGCCTCTTTTGTTCTTAATGCATTATTTTGAGCAAAACCATGTAATAAATTGTTACTTACAATTTTTTTGACACAATCATGTAATAAATTATTAGTTAAATTTTATGAGCACAACTATATAATAAATTGTTAGTTAAATTTAATTGTTTTAAATAAAGTTATTCTTGGGTTTTGATAAATTTTCTGCCTAACCATCATAATTAAATAATTTTTATAAAAACTCATGAATTTTTGATCTCGTTTAATTTGGTTTATATTAAAATAGGAATGTTGTAATTAGTGTAACGACAAAATTACATATACTTAGTTTGAAATAAACTACAAAAAATATGAGGGTCCTGTAATTTAACAACCACTGAAACAATACATGTAGTTTGAATGAAAATATGAGTGTTCTTTTGTCTTCAACTGTACTCGACGCTACCTGACGACAATCTGGACAGTGGGGATCGCATAGCGTAGAGTAGGGTAGAGTTGTGCACGGGGATAACACAACCTTATGGAAAATTGGACTTAGGATTTGCGTCTGGAAGCATCGGGTAGCGTCGCATAGCGTTGCATCGGGTGTACAAGTGTGTTCCCGACTTTATAATCCCGGATCTACCGATTCTAAGTGGAATCTATGTTATTTTTCTACTGGGAAATGGCCCAACGTTGACTGTTTATTATGGCCAAGTTACTCAAGTGGTAGAGCAGCGGCGTATTTAGCCGTAGGTCGTGGGTTCGAATCCCGCTCGTGATACTGATTTTTATCTCAACCAATACCTTACGTAAAGATTAATTAATTGAAAGATGTTATTTGGTCAATCGGACCACGAAATCTAATGGATTTAATAAGTTAAATGAAGTATATCTTCTCTAAAGCTTTCCGTGGACATTTCATTTGTCACCGAGGATCAAATAGATTACACGACATTTGAAAAATGGCAAAAAGGAGGGAAAATTCGAAAGGTTGGGTTGAGATGGAAAGTTGGTGTCCGAGTACATCGAAGTCACGATAGCTCAAGTGGTTGAGCAGCGGTGTGTTTAGCCGAAGGTCGTGGGTTCGAATCCCGCTCGTGACCCTGACTTTTTTATCTCAACCAATACCTTACATAAAGATTAATTTATATCAATACTTTATTTAATTATTATTAACGTTATAATTACGGCACTGCAGCGTGTACACGAGTCTCGTCGTGCTCTTAGAGATAAGCTGAGTTGAGCCTTTCTGAAAAAGGGTGTAATCGTCAGGGTACACTGTCACGGGATCACTTCTAGGTATGAGAATAGGGTAACCCTAATTTGGATACCAGCACATAAAGGACACTCTGGCGATGAAGAGGCGGATAGCCTGGCCAAAGGGCTCAAATACTGCGTTTGTTGGGCCACAACCGGTATTACCTCACTCTATATGCAAAGCGAAAGAGAGTATTAATTAGCTGGGGCATGAAACAATTCCTTCAAGAATGGAATCTGTCCCCCGGACATAGGCAATCGAAGGAGTTTGTGAAGGAGATCAAACCGAAAGAATCGAAATGGCTATTCTCTAACTCAAGGAAGGGAATTAGAAGGCTGATAGGTATCCTGACGGGCCATTGCTCTTTGAGAAGACACCTCTTCGTAATGGGTATTTTACCAGACCCCTTCTGCCGTTTTTGTGAAATAAAAGAAGAAACGGCACGGCACTCCTCGCAGAATGTGATAGGTACGCCAGATATCGATTCGAAACTCTTGAAGGAGAGGACATTACCAAATCACTCCCTGAGATAAAATGGTCCAAAATCTTGGGGTTTGTGAACAAGTCCAAGAAGTTTATGCAGGACACGTGAACCGACCAAGGCCCGGACCCTTTAGGGATGGGGTACGAGTCTACCCAGGCATTTAACCCCTCAGGACTTGGTCGCCCGCCCTGCGTAATATGTATATACACTGTCACGGGTTGGAGGACGAAAGCTAGGACCCTTCTCTGGACGATCCGGCCCGGTGAAGCTGCACGAGCAGTAAACAAGGAATGAAAGAACGGTAGCGTCAATCTTCCGAGAACCTCTTGCGATTCAAATCCCTGAAACGCGAGAAAGGGATAGTGCTAACCCGCTTGAGGATAGGATAGGCGCAACAGATTCACTACCCATTCCCATCCGCCACTTCTCACTCATTCGAGGGACTTTTCAGTGTAAATAGCGTCCTCAACGCTTATACGCTGCCGTCCGATCCGCCGTATCCCGTGGGGCCGGGTGTATAACGATGGTCATTCGCAAGTTTCGTGCGAAGGTCACAGATAGAAGACAGCCTCTTCTCTAAGTTCCCGCCAGGGGACTCACCACGGCCAACTATGAGTCATTTCCAGTGTAATAGGGGCTGAACCTTGGAACATTTCTGTTACCCCGTACTCCGTAGTACAGATGCAGACAGGATCTGGTACCCTAACCCACGTCTGTCTCTAATAAAGCCCCCGCCGCCCCATTCCGACACGAGTACAGCTTGTGCTTTACGGAGGTTGCCACGCCCTCAAGGCTACACCATTATTTTGCGCCTGGACACCCTCCTTGTAACCATGAGTTGGGAGAGATCGCAGGGAAGAATGAAAGAACCTGGATTGAGAAAGGGACGTGGATAAGGACACGAGGTACACCTTTTCAGCGTCCCGAGGCTTAGCCACATTGTACCACCCGTTGCACAAGAGAACAGAAAAAAACCTTGTGATCGATGGAGTGTATCATCGATTATCACGTCACATCGACTTGTTTATCGTTAACTACGTTAATTTTTTATTCTGTTTTTTTTTTTTTTTTTTTTTTTAATAGAATACCCAGTATGTTTTATTTTCTAGTAAATCTATTATTTATTTATTCTAAATTCATATTTTAGTATTATCTTTTGGAAGTAAATACATACACTTTCTACTATTTAAGGAAATGTTTTAGCATTTTTGCCACTTACATTGCCATTTTATTAGATACAAAATTTACATTATTACTTAATAGGTCGGTACAAAAATGTAAAGTTGGTGTTTTCAAATTAAAAATTCCACAGTTGTTACTTTAAAAAAATATGTTATACATTAAGATTACATTTTTGTTAGTTAATTTTTAAAAAAACAGGTGGTCTGTTTTTAATTTTTGTTATTTTTTGACCAATGACCAAAGACCAACAATGCTGGTACTCAGTATGAGGGGTAGTGGGCAAGGAGGTCACGAGGCAATCGTTGTTTACGGCACTTGGCGGGTTCTGGGGATGGGAATGTGTGTAAAGGGCTCGAGCAGTAGGGTTGATAATTTGTCTGAGGGCTTTTGTTTGGGAGAATTGGATGGCTTGGCTGGACTACTCAATTCCTAGTCTAATATTATTGTCTAAATTAAATTCTTGTATAATGTTGACAGTTAAGTCGGATTTCGGTCCTAGAATTCTTCCAAGTCTTCTGTTAAGTGGTTGTGTCTTAAGTCTTGTGAGGGGATTCCAAGTAATTTGTTGTCAAGGTATAGTGTTAAGCATTGAAGCTTGAATTGAAGCTGGTATCTTTTTGTTGTTGATGTGCAATGAAATGCAAGGCTGTTTTTTCAATGTGAACGTACATTTTTGTTCATTCAGTCTTCGTCTCCAATTTTTGCACCGAAGAGATAAGCTCAAGATGTTGTTTAATGTTGGAGGTAGCTTGGAGGGGATTCGAATTACAGAAAAAATTACGGTATCGTCCGCAGGTGGTGATGATGGAATTTGGGTGTGAAGCTAGGTCAGCAGTATAGATGATATAAAGGATGGGACAAAGAATGCACCCTTGTAGGAGACCGGCTTTTGTCTCGAGAACTCGTTGCAGCACTTCACTCTTAAGAAGCGCTCGGTTATGTACGATTTCAAAATAAGGTAAAAAGGATTAGGTAGCAATTGCTTTAAGTTTATAAAGCATGCCCAACAGGCCCTATCAAAAGTTCTTCAGACTCTAGAGTAGAGAAGATAGTGTCAACAACTCTGAAGACGTGTTTTATCGTGTAAGAATGAAGACGGAAGTCGGATTGGTGAGAAGAAATGATTTTATAAGCATCTAGGGTGGAGATTAATCACTTTAAAATTGTTCTTTCGAGGATTTTGGTCATTGCTTAAAGAAGGCTGGTGGGTCTACAGGAGGATATATGTTTTATGAGCTTTAGGAATAAGAATGGGTGATCGTAGGGTTAAAATCCATTTTATCAACTATAAACTATAACAATGCAATTGTTTCCAATGCTAAATTCATTTTTTAATTGCCATTTTCTGATTTCTGTTTCAGTTACATCGAACAGGCGTATGTTGAAAATGGCAACCAGTGTTTTGGCTGTTAAGGTGAAGATATTTTTATTTTTAATTTACATTTCAATTTTTTAACATGCGAAAAGCAATCAGGGGGCCTGTGTCGCCTCTAATTTTGTCGGAATACAATTATATTAATAAATATATTTGTTTTTTATAATTATTTATGTGTGGCTTATTATTAGCAATTTTCATAATAATTTCAAAGTATTTTTTTAAATATTTTAATTAATATATTTTTTTTTTTAATTGGTCAAGTGAGAACATGTATTAATTTTGCAATGGCTAATTTAGTGATAAATACCATTTAGTCCAATCATTATTGTGACATTTTATCTGGTTGAGTTATTTCGCAATTTTTTTACAGAACTAACTCAAATGGCTTTGTCCTCTTCAGTTGACTTTTCGATATGCTGAGCATGTAGCTGGCCGCTGGCCTCGGTGTTCGGGTGAAGATGTACTATACACATACTTTATGAACTCGATATCTATACGAATGTGGCTATTGCGACCATATCAAGGAGCATCAACCATATTCATAGAACGTTATTTTGGAACCGTTGTATAGTGATAGTATTGCTTCTTTTGGTACACCCCAAAATTATATACCATACATCCATATAGAATTTATTATGTAATTCATCATTATTTTATTTTGTATTGATAGCCGGAAATTCATTCCCAGAGTTGTTAATTGTTTATCGGTTATCATGCCAAAATATTCAACTGAATTTTGTAGTGGATCTACTTTAAGATCGAAGTCGAATGGTTTTTGTAATAATTTTCTATTTGTGAAATTCACATTTACGGGTTTCTGGCCGTTTATTTTGGCCTTCCAAGTATCTCCTCGGACTTGGATGCTGTTGACTGCAATTTTCTGTTGGGTCCTGGTTGCATGGATGTTTCCGACTGAGAGGGCAGCTGCATTGCGGCGATTACGGTTTCCATCATTGGTGGTAACTTGAATACAGCATGGGGCCTAGGATGTAGCCTTGAGGACAGCATTGATTGAGCATTCGTCTTATTGTTTTATTTTACGAAATGTCAAAAGTTCAACTTATTATTTTGGGAATGTTTTTTTACCCTTCGTGCCAAACATTGTCAAAGTCGTCTAACAATAAAGCTGAACATATATATTTTTTATATAATCAGTGATTCTCTTTATCTGATCTATGGTTGGGAGCTTGGCTCTGAATCAAAACTGGTGGCTTGGCATAATGTCCGCTTAAAAATTAATTGAATTGATGCGATGACAAATGTCCTGCAAATGAAATAGAACTTTTCAAAAAATTATATTTTCATTTTTCTTTATTATATCAATAAAGTATGAAAAATAACATTTTTTTAAAAATAAAATTAGAAGTTTCCTTGTGTAGAAGGAGTAAAAAATTAAACAACGCTAAAATTCTGCATTGGCTGTAGAAAGGGCACTGAATGAAAATAATCTAAAACTTTCGGCTGAATTATTGAGTAATTTATTTAATTTACAATATACAAGTGGTGTAGTCAGTGTTTAAAAAATCCAATAATCGTTTAGCATGAATGACAAAATTGACTCTCTTCGTTATATTGTTGCTAGCGATTTAATTGGCGTCTCGACGAAATTATGGTATATTCAAGTCGGACAAGCGCATTCAGACATAGACATAAAAAGGCGAACGAATTAATAAACCACGAAAAAGTAAATTTTCACGAACACATATGTACAAATTACGCCCACGGACATTCATACAAACGACCATATTATTTTTCTTTTCCAGGGTCAACATAAAGAGATGAACGTCAAAAAACACATGTCTGAGGACTGTGAAACGGGACGAGAGTTATGTAGATAAACCGACGATAAAGTTCTTAATGAATTTATTGGCTGGATGTAGAGATGGGAGAACACGTCTGCGTCCATCCCGTTGTTTACATCCCAGTTTACATAAACATAAACGATTGTTTTAAAACCGGTCCGATCCCTTTTTTAACACAAGACTTCATAATTCGTCTAGTTACAGACTAATATTTATTATTTTTATTTACATTTTAGTAAAAACAAAAATTAACAGAATTATCACATTCAGATTACAGTTATAAATATTCTTTATTTTTCATAAATTTTATTACTACAGCCAATAATTGTATTTTCATGTTTATAAATAGCTAATGATAGCAATTGTTAAGTCGAATTTTTCATTTTTGTTACAGTTACCGAAAAGAAAAATGTTGAAACTGGTACCCAAAGTTTCGGCTATTCATAAGGTAAATATTTTTAAGTTACTAATAGAAGTATATACAGGGTGAGTTTAACTTTTGTCCTTCCCCACTATATTTTTTTATCGGGGTGTTTTTGAGAAAACCCCGAGGCACGTTATCTATATTGTCTAGTTTATCACGAACCCAAAAGTTTTGCTCTTACTCTTCAGCACGATTTTTCAATTTATTATTTTTTATAATGGCGGCCCACAAGGAAGTATCTTAGGTCCGATACTCTACACCATCCACACATCGAAACACACAACTCACAACCTACTCTGGGCCTGCCCACAAGTAAACAATAAGGCAATACCTCTACCAAACCAAGTCCGCTTCTTGGGCTTTACATTAGATAGCTGACTTCATGGAACCCACATGTAGGATTAAAAATAACAAAAGTTATGGACTGGGACCAAAATAAACACCAAGCATACCTAACAAACTAACGGCTTACAAAACCCTTACCTGATCGATTTGGACTTACATAGTCCAACTAAGCAAACAATCCAATCCTTTCAATCCAATGTCTTCCTCCGTATAGTCAATATTCCTTTCTACGACACCAATCAAGTAGTACATAGCGACCTTAAAATCCCGTTCTTGAAGGATTTGATCCGAACACGCTTCCTCAGTTTTATTTCTAATCCTCCATCCTATCCCACTAGCCCAAACTCTGACCTTAACGTCCTACCCTTATAAACCTCCACACCGATTAAAACTACGACGTCCTCGTGACCTCCAATGTTAAACTTCCCAACAAAATAAAAGAGGGTTCCACTGGCTGGTTTATCTCCCCACTGCCTCCTGGTCTGACAGATCTGTCACATGTAATACGTACACTATTTCCTTGTATATTTATTTTGCTTTATTTTGTACAGATAAAAATAAATAAATAAACTCTCCACGTTAATATCCATCGATGTACATTTTTTGAACGGCAATTTGATGCTGAGTTCAACGGTGAAAACCGTTTTGGATTTGGAGCAACCGTTCTAAAACTATTAAAAAAACTTTTTCAAAACACTGTTTTTTGGATGAACGAAATCTTTTCCAAATTCTTCAATCCATCACCAATTTATTTATTATTTTAAATGTCAGAATGTTAATTGCACATGGTACGGGAAAAAAATCCGTTCAACAATTTGCTCAAATAACATCGATTAACACGGGACGCTCTGGATGTAGCTCATTAAAGTATGACTCAGCCTGGTGCACATTTCGGCCCATAAATAATTTTATTAACTTAATGTTTGACATACAAAACATAAATAATAATTGTTTGGTGGCCTTTGGAGCTTTTGAATAATAAAAAAATTGAAATGTTGATAAAAAGAATCACTTTAAAGTTTAGTTTTGATTCTTCGACTTTCTAGGCGAATCATACAAATGTCGCGTACATTAAATTGAAAAGTGGAGAAAATTCTGATGTTGAGAAAATTGGCAGAATCGCGCTAAGTTACTAAAACGCCGTTTAATCGATGTTTTTTGAGGAAATTGCTCCTTGATGGCTTATTTTCAGTTATCAAGTTAAAAAATTATTGTGAATTCGAATTTGAAAAAAAAAATGTAAATCACTCTATTTCTTCGTCGAGCCTTCAAAGGATATACCCTCTCCATAAGTACATTGGTACTATTTCTAATGATTAGTACTACTACAGGTTACAATTATTGGGTTGTCCGGAAAATAATGCAGGATTTTAAGTTTTCATTTAAAAAAATCTATATAAAATATTCTGTTTACGTTTACAGGATTACTCATCCTCTTCCAAATGATATTGTTTGTTTACCTCTGTAGCATTCTGCTACTTGGAAATAATTCAGTTATCCTTATAATGTCAAAGCGAGAATTTCGTACGATTTTCTTTTACGAGTTTAAACTCGGCCGAAGCGGAGCCCAAACGGCTAGAAACATTAACCAAGTCTGGGGCGAGGGTTGTGTTAATGAGTGCACTGTGCAAAGGTGGTTTAAAAAATTTCGGGAGGGAGATTTCAGCCTTGAAGATGAAGAAGGTCGTGGAAGGCCTTCCTCTCTTAATGATGATGTTCTGCGATCAGTGGTGGAAGAAAACCCCAAAACAACTGTTCGAGAACTTGCAGAGCAACTCAAAGTCAGTAAAACGACCGTCGTTGACCACCTCAAGGCGATTGGAAAAGTGAAAAAACTCGAAAATTGGGTTCCACACTCATTAAACGATCGCCAAAAAAATCAGCGCTTTGATGTTTGTGCATCACTTCTTTGTCGAAACAAAAATGACCCATTTCTGGCCAGAATTGTTACATGTGACGAAAAGTGGATTCTCTACGATAACACTAGACGTTCTGGACAGTGGCTCGACAAAGGAGAAGCTCCAAAGCCCCCAACTCATCAAAAAAAGGTAATGGTTACGGTATGGTGGGCTTCATTTGGTTTAATACACTACAGCTTCTTAAATCCTGGCGAAACCATCAATGCTGAATCATACTGTAACCAAATTAATACCATGCATCAGAAATTGGCAGTAATGAAGCCCTCTTTGGTCAATCGGAAAGGGCCCATTTTGTTGCATGACAACGCTCGACCACATGTGTCACGTGTAACGTCACAAAAATTATTGGAGCTTGGCTATGAAACTTTGCCTCACCCACCCTACTCTCCGGACCTCTCGCCTACTGACTACCATTTTTTTAGACACCTGGACCACTACTTACAACACATAATATTCAAAAATCAAACGGAACTGGAAAATACATTTATTGACTTTATCAATTCTAAAAATTCTGAATTCTACTCAGACGGAATTAATAAGTTACCAACACGTTGGGAGAAATGTATTGAGAGTATGGGAAATTATTTTGATTAAAGAACATTGCTTTAAAGTAACTAGTTTCTTTTTTTTTGTTTAATACCAAAATCCTGCATTATTTTCCGGACAACCCAATATAATATCAAATCGACGGGTGGTAGATCTCGTCCACTCTACTCATAATCTCAATAACATAGATCATAAATTCAATAGGGCTGAAGTTATAACTTTTAAACTTGTAAATAGTTTTTTTTAGTAATAATAGTTTCATAATCTTGATGAAACAGATATATTTCTTGAAAGCTTGACATAGGAACTGGGCTTCTTTTTTGTTCTTTCAAATTCGCATTATTCCTGAATTTTTATTTCCAATAGTGTCCAGTCTTAGTGATATTCGCTATTTGAATAACTGAAATTGTCCATTTCTGTTTCAGTTATCCTACACGGCAAACATTGAGCTAGGAATACAATGTTTTGGCTATCATTAAGGTAAGACGTCTAACTGGTTATTCTTAATAGTCGATCATGTTAAAACTGTTCATGAAACTGAACTAGAATCAAGAAATACAAAGTTTAAATATTAAAACACTATTTACTTGCTTGATAAATTAGAGAGGCTCAGGTTTTGTCAATCTATTTCAATCTAATATTTATTGTAGCACGGCCTAAGGAAACATTTATTTTCTACCGATCTCACACTTATTAAAAACTACCTGAAACAAATGTATAATATATTTTTTAATTGATCATATAAACCAAAGTAATTATTTTAATTAATTAATTATTTTTTATGCAAAGTACAGTTGAGTTGAAAAATTATTGTTACGTGCGGATTCGAACCCACGTTCTCTCGATCAGTACCCCGGCGCTTCTACCATTTGACAGCCACTTCTATCAAAAGGGATGCAGATAAGATAACGATCAGACGCAAAAAACATTGTAGATTGAGATGATTAGTTCGTGTATATTGGACAGAATTGACTGTAGGTCTACTGGTAGAAGACCGGGGTACGGATCGGGAGGTAGTGGGATCGAATCCCGCTCGTAACACTAATTTTTCAACCCAACCATTCTTTGCATAAAAAATAATTTTTATAGATAATGACGATCTTTCCACGTAGACTCTTTTCCATTTTTGAACTAACTCCCCGTACTACAGTATAACAAAACATCAGGTTGAAGGAGTTACATACCGGCATGAATAGTAAAAGTAAACCCGCCGATCCATCACCAACGCGACATTTCAATGAGAAGCTGGTTTGTAATGCCGCTCAATTTTGGACGTGTGAAAAACGCGGTTTTTTTTCTTTTTTACGGGGATACGCAATAGCAGAGGTCATATCAACCATCGGGATGCCGGCGTTTTTCACAAAAAACCCATTTGTAAGTATGTCGGGTTCGAATCCAGCTGCCCTGCATTCGAACCCGGGATCTTTACCTTACAGTGATGATTGCCGTGTCAACGCCTAAAGCGGGAACACACTTACCCGATGCAAAGCTATGCGACGCTACCCGATGCTACCCGACGCAAATCCAAAGACCAATTTTCCATAATATTGTATCACCCCCGTGCACATCTGCCCGATGCTATGCAACGCTACCCTACTCTGCGCTCTGCGATCCCCTCTGTCCAGATTTTCGTCGGGTAGCACCGAGTACAGTCGAACACAAAATAACCGGACACTCATATTTTTATTCAAACTACATGTATTATTGTCGCTATATTAATTACAACATACTTCCTTTAATATATACCAAATTGTTCGAGATCAAAAATTCATTAGTTTTTATTTTTTTTTAATTATTTTAACGGTTTGGTAGAAAATTGATCAAAACATCGGAATACCAATTTTTGATATAATTAATTGAACTAACAATTTATTACATTGTTGTGCCCATAAAATTTAACTAACAATTTATTACACGGTTTTGCTTGCAACATTTAACTAACAATTTATTTCTTGGTTTTACTTACAAAATTACAACATTTTTGTCAAGTAGCGTCAGAACTGGACACTCATATTCTTTGTAGTTTATTTCAAACTATGTATATGTAAATTTGTCGTTATATTAAGTACAACATTCTTATTTTAATGTAAACCAAATTAAACGTGATAAAAAAAATCATGAGTTTTTATAAAAATTATTTAATTATGATGGTTAGGTAGACAATTTATCAAAACACTAGAATAACTTTATTTAAAACAATTAAATTTAACTAACAATTTATTACATGGTTTTGCTCAAAAAATACTTTAAGAAAAAAAGAGGCGTTGCGATTGTGACACTGATTTGTGATACACGCTGTGTGACTGTACGTGGCGTGCGCTTGACGTCGCATAGATGTGCACACCCTACCAAAACGTGAAAAGGCGTTGGGTAGCATCGGTAGCGTCGCATAGCGTTGCATCGGGTAAGTGTGTTCCGCGCTTAACATATAGTATATATATCCTCACCTGATTAAGAGGGGCCATGCGAAGTTGACCCACTTTTAGGCCAAAGCTCGCGTTATGTGTTCGGCATGTGGAAAAGTTGCTCGATTTGTCCATTGTATTGATGGATACCACTCTTGGCTCTATATATAGAGCGAGTAGGATTGCTTGAGCGCGGCAGCGAGTATCTGGATTCCCTGTTCGGATTATTGGATGAAACAGGGTTGTTTTATTATACATAATAACGATTGTTTTGTGTACATAGCGTGCGTTGAAGAGAGAATGTATTTATTGGAGTGTGTAGTATGACAGGGTAGATGGTGGAATACCGAGCACCCATCGACCCTCAATTAGATTAGTTATATAATAGATACAAAGGGGTACTACACTAGGGATATAAGGTACACAACCACGAATTGAGCGAATGTGTTAAAAAATAAATCATTGTTCGAATGGGTTTTGATCTCGGTACTGCGTTGTGTGCTAAATTGACCTAGCCGTTTACAGCACTCTGAGTCCAACCTCTGTGTCTGCACGGATAAGGCCGGGTGTCCCCGGGCTGCCAACACCCCAGCTTGCTGATTCTTGACGCCTGTCGGCAATTTATTGTAAAGCTCAAAAGGTGGAATTCCCGATGGAGTCTCTAAAAGTGATAGTTTCAACTCTGTATATGCAGATTTAAGCTTGTATAAATAAATCCGAATCCAATAACTCCAAAATGTGCGCCCATCCCATGGAAATAACTCCCTGAGAACCGGCAAATATGTAAACATCAACTTCAAACATTTATGTATATACAATGGTCTATATTTCTTTTCTGGTCGGCTCCTCAACTAGTAATAAACAAAAATGGAATCTAACACGACCGACAAAAAATAGCTTATTACTTTTATAGCTTATAGCCGACAAATAACTAACTTGGACCTTCGTTATTCATTCAGTTTTTGTATTGATTTCAAGAATCGTACTATATCAGAATAATTTGATTTCTAAATTTCCAATTTAAATGTTTAAAGTTTCAATTTTTCAAGAAAGTTGCTAAGTTTTAAATTATTGGCCTGCACAGTTTGAGCATTTCTTTTTATTTTAAGATTTTTATCTAGGTATCAAGGTTTTTGCGGTGGAACTCCATCATAGGTAAAATAGAGGAAAAACGCTTTTGGTTCTTTTATCTTTTATTGTTTTAAGTAATAAAGTAAACTTAAATAAAATTAGTAAATATTTTTCATTCCAGCCTATTCAGTTTAAACGTTATTAATTATATCGCAAGCTTGCACATTTTTGTTTCAGTTACCGAAAAATGCAAATATTGAAACTGCACCCAATATTTTGGCATCTATTGAGGTGAGTTATGATTTAAGTACGCTTCACACATTATAGTGGAATAGATAACAAAATTATGATTCGTTGATGCTTTTTTCAAAAAGAAAACACGACGGCCGTATCAATTTTGAATTTCGGTTTTTGGTGGTAATTTTTTTTTAAAGGTAAGGCATTTTAACGCACATTCTGTACTTAATTTTATACCCGGCTTAGGAAACCCTGCAATGGCAGTTTGTATTGACAAAATGTAACATGATATTTTTGTAAGTCCTAACATAAATAATCAATTGCCATTTTTCCCCTTATGTTTCAGTTACCGAAAGAGACAAATTTTGAACCGGCACCCAATGTTTTGGCAACTATTAAGGTAACATGTTTATTTTTATCAATTAATTAAGTTTTATGTATGATTTTCTACTTATGAATTCGTTGAGTGAAAGGATTTAAAAATGTCAAGGTTCAAACCAAAATTTTTACATTTGTATGAGATTTGTTCAGTATTTTTCATCGCGTGCCTAACTCCAAATTTTCCTGCAGATCGTAAAACTTCTTTTCAAAGCAAGGAGAACTCTTCAAAGAATTAGAAATGCAAATTTTTACATTAATATTTATTTAAAACATACAACTTTTTAGTGCTGAAATGTTTCAGAGTGGTTTTGCCTTGAGCACGGTGACTCTTCCAGGAAAATACATGTGTTGGCTACTTTTTGAAAACAATGAGAAATAACTCAAGTGTCGGGGTGGTTTAGACGAGTTTTATAACAACAACTTTTTTTCTGTTCTGCCCTGATTATCACTGATGCGGATAAAATTTAATTAAATGAACGATTTTAAATTTCTGTTTCAGTTACCGCAAACGGCTAATTTTGAATTTGGGACCCAATGGTTTTGCATTTACTAAGGTAATTAACGTTTTCGCTAGGTCTAAGGATTGGGTTTCATTTTTCACATTTCAGTTTTTCCGTCTTTGTTCTTCTAGAGATCCAATAAAACCAGATATCTTTCATTTCAAAACGACGGTCACTAATGGTCTCATAACAGAAACAGTTTCAGAGTTTTCGCATATAAATTTAAAGCATCAATTAATACTAGAGTTATTTTTTCAACACGGTTGAAAGCCTCTTGTACAAACTAATACCTGCTAATAATAACTTGTACCTTTTAAATACCCTGTAACTAATCCTTCGTTTCTACCTAACCCAACGGTCCACCAAGGATCGGCCTACTCCGACTATTGTCCTCCGGGAGCAGAGCCCTGTCCACACGGAAACGTACATGGATCGATCCTTTACCTCCTCCCAACATCATCGTCCACCATCCTTGCATCCTATGTCACAGCTTTGCTACACTCTCATCCGATACACAATTGCTTCAGAAGCTCCAGGCACGTGTCCGACAATAGCCTAATGGAGGAAACACTAGCTTATAAAACTTAAAATTTACCATATATCATTCACCCTTCGAAGCAAAACCCCTCATACAATATTCTTCAATACTCTCATAGCAAAAACAGACTACGTCCTACCTTGGATTCTATATATACTCAAAACTAACCTCAAACACGACTAAAACGACAGGCTTGAAAACTACATTTCGAACTACTGAACAAACTGCAGTCTCGAAAATCTACGTTTCAAAGAAACACAAACTGACAATCTACTTGGCAATACTAAATCAATCGGGGCGTAAGGACTAGAACTGAGGAGCACTGCTAAACCCTCGCGGCATCCAAATGGTACAGTCCTTCCAATGCAAAGTCCTCACAATTGGTCAACATTGTGACAACAAAGGAGGGAAAATTCAAAAGGTGGGGTTGAGATGGGAAGTTGGTGTCCGAGGGGATCGAAGTCACGATAGCTCAAGTGGTAGAGCAGCGGCGTATTTAGCCGAGGGACGTGGGTTGGAATCGTGACACTGACTTTTTTATCTCAATCGCCTTATTTAAAGATTAATTAATTGAAAATTGTGACAACAGTTCATTGTCTAGAACAACAATCCTCCACACTCCACAATGATCATAATCCCTTTCGTGAAAAAAATAATTCCCAAAAGATTTTCCTTTTTCCACAATAAGTTCTCCTGTTACCCCAGTTGAGTTGACCATTCCTTTTTCATATAATCCAATATAATCCGAGGAGAGGATTAAAGAGGTGATCGTCTCGCGACCTATTAAAGAATGATGAGTGCTCGCGTATAGTTGGGAGAACAAAACTGTTGTTAACTTCACTCGTGACACATGACCCATGCCAATTAAACTCATTTACAAAAAAGGTTTAAAAAAAATGAAAAGTTTTTCGCAACAGATTTTTAAATTGAGAAACTACTGTAACGCAATAACAAGCTAATGTTATTTTTGAAAACGTTCAAACTATTGACAAGGAGCGCTTAATTATGCAGTTGGATGAAGATTAGAGGAGAAGGAGGAAAGTCCGATTTTTCATGATTTCACATTATCAGACTTCATAAAGATTCAACGATCCGGAGATTGGAAGCAGTCCATAATCATAAAGAAAGAGCCGGCAATATTTCAAGTAACTAAGAATGATTGTTTATTCGGTGAGGAGGCCAGAGATTTTTTTTAGTCCAAACGGCGCGAGTCAAAACGGGCCCGAGGTGGGATTAGCATAAATATCGGGGACTAAATGCCCAGACGGATGTTTTATTTTATGAATGGACAAGGGAAAAAGCCAAGGGGCGCTATAATTTATGGCGACTATTATACATCTCGCGATATAATCGCTAACGGTCCCGACTAGCTATCACATCCCCGAATCGGAAGACTCGTCGCAACATTTTGTTATTACTTCTGTTACGGCCCTTTAATTTCCCTTGTGGATTACTCGCCGTTCGTCTTTGTGACGGATCAGTTGGGATAAATCAATTTTGCCTAAGTGGACTGCGGTTTCGCCTCGTTGGAAACGCATGACTGACCCGTCAAATCGCCATTGATGAAGTGCACAGGCTTCCGTAACTCGTTCCTTTTCCGAAGGCGGCCTCGTCCCTCGATCCGACTGACGGCTGATCAACGCCTGATTTTGTTTTGACAAGAAGTCTTGTTAGATTTCGTCTTGAGATCTGCCTATTGAGGAACTTATGCTTTGGTTTCAGATCAACCTATTCTTCCTAGATCTGGTTTGAGCTCGCCAGGATGATTGTAAAGGCCAAACTAAAATAATATTTCTCGCCATCTGAAATGAACCGTCTGTGCCTTTGTTTTTTTGCCGTCCGTGTAGCTTCTTTTGTCAATTAGGACGGTCGCATCTCACTACTCCTGGCGAGCTCTTAGTCACTGTGTTCAGGCGGAGGCGGCTCACTCGGGATTTTAGGAGGAGAACGATATGCTTTATGTTTCTTTCTTTCTTTCTCTTAATCAGAGACATCACTCTGCGAAGGCACTGGCTTATGTTGGGCCGGCCATCCTTTCTGCCTCATGATGGCTTTCCACATTTTTTCGGTAGCCAAGTACCCAGCACGTCTGGATATGACGCGGCGTCCATGCTAGCCTCATCAATATTGGATTCTTACAGCCACCTCGTCCGGATGACTGTGTAATTTTTGCATACTAGGGACACATGCTCGACCGTCTCCAACATGCCGCACTCGCACAATAGACTGTCTGTCAGTCCAAATCCATGGAGCTTGGCTGAGAAGTCCCCATGCCCCGATAACAACTAGGACATGTAATGATCCGTCTTCATAAAAGTCATGCCCAAGAGTCTCTTACATTGTGAACAGCCGATACGTATGCCTTCCTTTGGGCGACGTTTCCCAGCGGCGTTGCCATGCATCTCTCAGCCAAAAGACAACTTCTTCTTCTGATCGAACGGGCACGCAAGGCGGGTATCTATTGGCCAATTCCCAAGCCGCACAGGTGGTCCTAGCTTGGGGTCCAGCGGGGGTCGTCCAGCTATCACATGCAAGGCGTCTGTGGAGATAGTTCGTTAAGACTGCGTGACAGCAAGCAAGGCCGCTCTACCTCGCGCAATCCTCATGCCCACGAAGTGGCAGCGTAAAGCAAGACGGACTGGCATAGTGCCGAATAATATATTTGCTTGTCTTCCAACTGATGCCCCATCTGAAATCAAGCAAAAAAGATTCATTTTGTAACAATCCTAAAAGATTAGTTCCAATTGTTATACCCTGAAAATGTACAGTGATTCAGCACTGCCTCCCAGACAAAAATTACAGATTTTGCTGTTGACATGGCATCAGAACTGCCTTTTGGTTATTGAAATGATTGTATTATGAATTTCACAAACGCTTAAAAAAATTTCCGTGTGATTTATGCGTTGACAAAAATTAGGCGAGAATAAAGTGGAGACAGATTTTTCTTTTTCCAACTAAACCACTAAAAGATTGCGTTGTTGACATTTTTGCGTTTCAGTTTTGTCGATGATAAAAGTTTTTGTCCGGATCTGTTAAAATTTGCCCATTTATTTAATCACAGAGTTACATTGTTATCAGTTGAGAATATGTCCATAATTAAGAAAGGTAAATACTCTCATGTCTTTCAAGGGGTCATGGCGTCCCACTCGTATTTCCTGGGTTCGAATCATTTCAAATCAAGCCCATTTTTAATTGAGAATAGAATGAAAGAAATTTGAAGTTTGACCTCTCAACCGCGACACTCAACGGGTAGTTAGACGTTATACCCTCCAGTATGACTGGAATTACATTAGTTTAATCGAACTGTAAGATATGGATGTCAATTCCTTAAGTCGGGTTGTGCACTTTTCAATTTTCTACAATAAATCATTTTCCAAATTACAATTCAGCCCTGCCTGTCATGTGTTAATAGTATAGTCGCATATATTACTTATATGTTATAAGGTCAACGGTGGCATCTTCATAACTGGCCGTGGACTGACTCAGCGGCCCATCCATCGAAACCAGTCGGTTCCTCCTTTTCTCACACAAAGACGACTACAGTTGACAATAAATTATTCATCCGGACGTCACAAATCCTGAGAAAAGGGTAATTCTATTCACCTTTGTCCCTATTAGCGTTGTGTTGGAATGCGGTTACAGCAGACGACCTACGGTAAATCCAAATAGACAAAATACCTCGGGATTGAACAGTTTCATTTATTACTAAAATATCAAATTTTTCCATACTAAAACCTGAATTTCTTGATGTTCTCTATGACAGAATAAGCTGTTTTCTTGTTTGCATACTGTAAGAGGTTGTCCGCTCATAACGTCATTTTGGATATAGACGCAGGAGTTGTTTTATGCTAAGTGTGGTGTGCTGCACGGAATTTCGATATTTTCAACTGTTATTGTGCTAAAAAAGGTTACTCTTAGGTTCGATTAATAAAGATTAATTTATTATTGTTGTATAATCAAAATAAATAAAAAGTGGGATTATTAGATTGCCTATTTGAAAATAACTCTCACAATAAAACCAATTTCACCATTTATGATTCATTTGTGAATTCTTATATAAGAAGCGACTAACAAGTAATAAGTGCACCATAGTTCAACGTTAAAAAAGTTCACGAGATAGCACACTTGAACCTCGGTTAGAGGTCCTAGGTAGTATACTCCAGCGTCGCAAACTATTTTGTCTTTAACATAATTGTCACATTTTGTGAGAATATCCTGTTTATCTAAAATATTTAAATTAGACATTTCTCACCTTAGGCTAAAATGACTGGAACGAAAACGACGCTACCGCCTACTGCCTGAGCCCCACGGACTTGAACTTTTATGTTCAACTAACGCTCTAAGACCAATAAAGCGGATCAAAAAATCCAAGATCCTCCTAAAAATATTCAATGCTACCGTCCATATCCAATCTTACCATGGCCTATCGCATCTTTGGTCCACGACCTAGTAACAATCCGTTATCTTAAATTCCACCCTTTTAACAGTAAATCTCCTGAAAACCCAATTGGAAATAATCCCATCAGAAAAATAAAAGGGCGTGGTTATTCGACTACTTGCTGTAGGGTGATGCGACTCTCATGTAAGAAGCCATCTACGTATTTTAAAATAATAAACTTACTTGTTAATTAATTAATCGTTTTATGTAAGGTTTTTGGCTGAAATGAAAAAGTCGGGGTCACGAGCGGGATTCGAACCCGCGACCTTCGGCGCAAACACTGCTCTAACGTCACGAAGTCAAGATAGCTCAAGTGGTTAGCGGCGTATTGAGCCTAAGGTCGTGAGTTCAAATCCCGCTCATGACACTAACTTTTTCATTTCCACCAAAAACCTTACATCAAAAGATTAATTAATTGAAATTAATTTTGTCAATAGACCACTAAATATAATGGATTTTTCTTATTAATTTTATTACAGTTGTAAACAGTTATTCATTTTGGGGGGAATGATTTAAAATAGAAATTGTATGGCAAAAAGTCAGTCAAGGATGTTAAACTTAGTGAATGAAATAACGTCAAACTTTTATGATGCATATACCATCATTATGTATAGGAGTATATATATTTTAAAAACGAAACGTTTCCCCAAATACCCATGGATTCTTTTATAAAAGAGAATGAAGTGAATTAAAGCATTATTGGCAGATGGCGTCCTTCCCACGGGTATCCCGTTCAAACCGAAACGCCGGCGTACACTTACGTCCGCGGATGGGTTTACACTTACTACTTTCCCGTCGGCTCACACGGACAATGTGGAAATCCCATTAAACCTAAGGAGGCGGCAGACACATAGGTGCTCGAAGCAAAAGACCTGCTGACCTTCCAGGTTCAACGCACTAATGACAGCCGGTCGACCCAGCCCAAAAGGCTCTTGGCACAGCTCGTGGCCCGACATGATTTTTTTTTTTTTTTCAACCGATGACTAATTTCAAAATTCCACCTTGGGCGCGTCTCGTCCGCAATCTAACAAAACTGCCAACTACTCCAAAAATCAATTTCACCTCAATGTCAGCCAGTTTATAATCAAAAAACAAAGTTTAATTCACCCATTCGGTATACGACTTCGAGAAATCGATTTTTTTACAGCAGCATCAAACCCCCCTTTGCTGGGAATAAATGAAGTGATTTGTATAAATATGTATAATTGTTCAGCGTTTATTTCAATGGGAGGCGAGCACAGCCCTACTAATAGAATAAATCACATAAATCAAACAATGTTTTGTAAGTGTGCAATTATCCTTTACTGTTAACAGGAGGCTTAAAATTATGTGAATGCTATCTATTAGAGCATTCTTTCTTAACACATTAATTGGTGCATTCACTTTTATGAGAAGAGCTGTTCCCAGACAATGGGACGTCTGGGCTTCATTTTGAATAGCGTTTTTTATACAAAGGACATCGCATGTGTATGAGAAAATATAATTCCAGTAAAAAAAAATTACTAATTATAATTTTAAATTAATATTTTATAAATAGTTAACTATGTAAATATGAGATAAGAGACATTTTGCATAACGTTTCCGCTATTTTCAAGGCCACCGTTATATTTAAATCCATTATATTCCGCGGTCCGATTGATTAAATAACTTCTTTCAATTAATTAATCTTTTTATGTAAGGTTTTGGTTGAAATAAAAAACCAGCGTCACGAGCGGGATTCGAACCCACGACCTTCGGCTAAATACGCCCCTGCTCTACCACTTGAGCTTTCGTGACTTCGATCCACTCGGACACCAACTTCCCATCTCAACAAAATTGGTAAAAAGGAGGGAAAATTCGAAAGGTAGGCTGAGATGGGAAGTTGGTGACCGAGTGGATCGAAGTCGCGATAGCTCAAGTGGTAGAGCAGCGGCGTATTTAGCCTAAAGTCGTGGGTTCGAATCCCGCTCGTGACGCTGGTTTTTTTATTTCAACCAATACCCTACATAAAAATTAATTAATTGAAAGAAGTTATATTTAAAGTTTTTTCAAATAACACAGATGGTTCAGCCTAAAAGGTCCCTTTTACACAATTGCTGTGACTTTAATGAGAAAAGATGTATATGGTTGCTATATTTGCAGCAGTCATATCGGCTTAAGTGAATAAAATAGCTAAATATTTTAATGTTGGAATACCAATTATAATAATACATTCTTAGAATTCGGGATTCATGAAAACTTATACGAAATGTGAAATGTTAACTATAAAATAAACGATATTATTATTTCTACATACATAATATTATTTTTAATTTGGACAATATATCCAACAAAAATCTACTTTTTTGACCTTACCGTCACCCTTTAACAAGCACGCTGTTCTAAGAAAACGTAAAACAATGTTTCAGATCGAACTTCGTTAAATCGGCGCATGCTCACTTCGATCAACATAGCGTTACCGTTCACGCTAACGTTATGGAAAATCTCCATAATATATTTTGCCTCTTGAACACAGTAGATATTTTATTTTCGAATCGCGCTTCAATCTTCTCTTCTCACATAGTAATCAGACTATATTAAAAAATTAGCGATTAAATTATGCCATATTCGAAACCAACAACATAACCACAAACATAACCAAACTTTTACTATCTGTTCTCTCATGTTCCTTATTGGTCAGTAATTTTCACCTCAATTGTTCCTGTTACCAATCAAAAAATCTCATTAACCTGACCAAATGGGTTTTCTTAATGTAATTAAGCGTATCTTCTCGAAAATGTGTAAAAATTCTATGGATTTATAAAAAGAGAAGGGTATATAATAATGTGCATTTTTTGTTACAGGTAACTGGGAAGTAAAGCAACACACTAACCTAAGGTATTTATGAGTAATCAACAATTAAAAGCCTTTAAAGGGATGATTAACAGATAATCAATTTAAAACTTTTCTGGCGAGGTTGGAGATCACATTTTGACCGAAGAGAGTGGCAGTTGTTACTCGTTATAATTTATTTGGTGCACAGAACTGTTCTTCTTTTCTGGACGTTATCAATTTTAATATTTTTCTGTCGGGTGGTTTCTACTAAATTCGTTCATAATCAGAACAAAATTTGGATTTACTTAGGGTCAAATCCGCATATGTACGTACATAAAGACATGTGTCGAGTTGAGCCTATTCGCTTCTCTTGGTCCACCGGCAATTCCAGCTATGTAATTTACAGTAAATTACCGGCAGACTCGAGAATCGCCCACCCCGGGTGTTGATGATCCAGGGATCTGAGTCTTATCCGTCCAGACTGATGTCGGTGCTGTCAACAGCCAGGTCAATTCAGCACCCATCGCATGCATCTCCAAACCCATTCAAACTCACGTACATTCTTAAATAACTCCTATTTACATACCATTCATTCAATTAGGGTGGTGGAGCACTCGATGTTCCTCCAATGACCCACATACATCATACATTCACGCTAATACATACATTCACTCTAAACATATTCTAGTTATTATTACTATATACAGAACAGCCCTGTTTTCTCGAAGAATCGGAAGAGATACTCGCTACCGTGTTCACGCACAATACTCAAATCGGCTGGCTTTCCTGCGCGCTCTGTATGAAGCCGATGAATTGCACCTCAAAATGAGATCAAAGCTTTCGACATCACAGATTTTATTTTGTCTGATAAATTCGGTCTTTTGACGCATCAAAACAGGTTCCAGGCGATGAACGTTGCCTCTTTATCCGAATGAATAGAAAACACTAAATTCTTATTTTAAACTTCTAACCAGACATTAAAAATGTTGACAATTTATTTACCCACACAAGTGTAAGCGAGGAGTGAAGTCCTAAAGATATACTAATACTTTTGTCTAGCAGAAACTGGTAAAAAATAGTAATTGCAGCATGTGCTATTATCGCTCTAATTATAATAACTTCTTTCCAGTCAACTCAGCTCTCAATGTAGTGTTTTCTTAAGTGGGGCAGTTTTACAAATCACATATTATACAGTTTGAGGCGTAAATATACGTTTTACGCGTTCTCGTAATATGTGGCCTTCCCTCTATTAATACTAGAGATTGCTAATTAGCTCTCTCCTATAGATGTGAGAAAGCTTTAAAGCAATTCAGACGCGTATAATTCAAATCCGCGATGTAATCTTGTAAAACGGTTCCGACAAAATCGATAAATGATACATAACTTATGTATTAACATGATATTATCCAATCGACGAGATTTTCGCTCTCGTGGCGCGAGTTTTACAGTTCATTCTCGTTTTCAAAGGGTCGGCGGTGCCAGCTGAAAAAAGGGGGTCGCGGCCCGAGCTGACAGGGCCGTATTTGCAAAACCAGAATCGCTCAGTTTCTGTGAATCCACGTTTAAAAACATCGTATGTGATCCGGTTCTGAGACGGATTCCGCCAGCCCCTCCACTATCGCCGACCATCTTCACATTTTGTTTCCAACTCTCTTTGAAGAAGAGCGTGCTCCGACTTTCCATTAAATGTCAGAAGGAACTGTATGCTAGAGTGAACGCAGGGGCTTTGGAAAAGTACACGAACCACACTATGACAATAATCTAGCGGTGAATTCATATTTAGCAAACTAGATTTTTTTGATTACCAGGCTTCGTAACGTTCTATTTCCCATTGGGGGTCGCAATGTCTTATAGCATTCGAGGTTCTTTAACGTGCGCACGTAGCCGTCAGGCCTTATCACACGTTTAATTTCCCAGTTTAGGAGCGACTACCTCCGCGCACGGTTGGCTGGAAGACCGTGAGGTTCGTGTAGAAGCCAACACATCCACAGACTAATCATACAGACATTCTGACTTCTCCCGCTTGCCCCTCTCGAAGGGGTGGGTAAACATTATGCATTTCAATGTGCCGCGCGTAAAGTGATACCTAAAAGGGCTGAAATACGCCGGTCTCCCAACGCGCTCCCTAGATAGAGACGGCAGCTCTATCTCCATGAGTGTAGGGGCCCCGCTAGCGTGGAAACTTCCGGATCCGCACCGGCCGCGGTTTAGTTTAAAGTGGAATTTCTAACTACTCACAAGGAGACCTGTTTTCTAGTTACCTGCTAGGGGTCTTACCTACGACGAAACCATAGCACGCTACTGGCTTGAAATTGAAGACTGTGCTATCCCGTCGTACAGTTAGTTATGCACCCTCCCCCGTTTTTTGCACACAGGATCTGGTACTCAAACCCACGTGTGACTCTGATCATGCATTCTCCGTACGCGGCCAGCTCGCTAGCTAACAACTATCTTATCGCATCTCGAGGGACTAGGTAGGCGTAGTCTTTGCATCACAAAGACGCAGAGGGTGCTTAAGGCAATCATGCGCTTCAGGAAGCACGTACAGCTTGTGGTTTAGAGAGTGTGTCAAGTTCTCAAGGCGACTCCATTATTTTGTTCCTGGAAAAAACCCCTTGCAACCAAGGGTTGGGAAGGGTCTGCTGGATGCCCTCCCACGCTTCTCTACCAGTCCGAGTACTGTATTTACTATATCACATCTCTCGGGAACGAACAGGCTGCGGTCCTCTTTATGTTCGGTCTCCGAAGGCCTGAACGGTGGCTTAAGGAGTAGGAAAAAGGCCGCTAGAACTGGATAGGTTATAAGTTGCACAAACGGAAGAATTTTTTAAACGTGCTAAAGAAATTAGATAATAATTTGAATTACATGAAATAATGATTGTGAAATTTCATCTTAAGGTCTGCAGAAGGTGGAGTTGCTATTCGCAACGCTTGATCCTGGAGCTCCACCGAAGTGTTGTGGAATCAGAATCAGAAGTTAGCACAGCGCTGTTGTCGGCTAGAGAAGCTAGGAGAGTGGAGGGTATAGTCGGGATATCTGAAATAAAGATGAGACACGGCCCTTTGGCATTCCCGCAACCGGAGAGTAGTTCGATCCTTGGCGAACTCGGAAGAATCATTCTGTTAGGTAGGAGCGAAGGATTAGGTTGGAAGGACACGTTTTAATTTGTACAGGAGTAACGATCAAACGCTAGGTTAACGTTAAGAAAGTTTATACCCAAGGTATGAGGCTATGTGGCCCACAACGCGAAGCGTCGCTGGGTTGTGGAAGTTGAAAACGAAAGCGGAACTGATGCTCAGTGAGAGGGTTGAGAGTGGAGGGATCAATCGTTTGAGAAGAATCTTTTGATAAGAGAGGAAGTTGGCTCATTGGACGGTAGGAAGACGCTTGATGGATTGGTTGGCCGGGTTTTTGGAAAAGAATTGTATCGGAGCATTTCCAGAGAAGTGATGTGAGTGGTGCGGAGTATACTATTGTGTAAATATGTAAGTAGGGCGATGGCTTTTTGAGAAATTCGCAGAGAATTCGGGATGTGATGAGAACAAAACCATTGTGCATCAGATTCACGATAAACTAACCTTTGAAGGAGTAATTACTTAGGGTGGAAGGGACATGACAGGTGCATGCGAGATGTTGTGAATTTCATTTTTGATAGAAGTATTATTGGGGTCGGGATTGGAGAGGTGCATGTATGATAAAGGAAATGGATAAAGTGTAGGCTTTGTCGAATTTGGACATGACCCGTCGTCGCAAGTGCCGAAATTTGCTGTTTCAAATAGTCAGTGTTGATGCCAACCAAAACAACCCCAAGATAATTAGTTTAATGAACTTTATGATGATGCCATTTTCCAATTATTAAAATTGGTAGGGTTTGGCCATTTAAACAAAGCCTAGCAACGTCTGTCACTGTCCGTTTGAAATTTCGACATCACTGTCATTCACTAACGCTGATTATGGTGTGAAAATTTTTTCAAAGCAGTTTAGATAAACCAAAATGTCCAGAAACGACCAAGAGAAACTATTCTCTCTACCCCATATTTGCTACTCATATTTGGATTCGAATTGACGAAATGAAAACAAAATGGGAATTGTTCAAGTGACACCGGATCACCTTCCATAGCACCGATAAATCCAAAGCGTGTTAAATCGGTTAATCGGAAAGGGTTGGAGACGCTAAGTAATTGCAGAAGGAATTGACGTTGAAGCGGCCTGGTCGAACAATAGGCCGGCGGCTAAAGTGGTCAATCAACATCACATCCCGAGTTGATGTCTTAGTGAGTTCGGCTGACTTTTGTTTGCGGGTCATGCGTCCGTGCTAACCTCGACCACCACCGCTTAAATCTCTTCTTTTTCAAATAATTCATACCCGGGGATGGCCCTGGAACGACTTGTTTTTGAAACGAATACGCCTTCCGTGAAAAACGCTCAAAAGCGACGTGAAAACAAGTCTCTCCCTTTGACAGAACGATTTACCATTTTCAAAAGCTACTGGAGTAATAAATGCCGAGATTTTTATATTAAAATTCTCTAAAAAGTTAATTGAAAACATCAAAATTGATTTGAAGTTTTATATCTTTAAATCTGTGATGTTTCGAAGAAATTGTTTTATTTCTACAAGGATATGAAGCAGGAACTTTGGCATAGACAGGCTTATCCACACGTTAATCGTGAATTAAGAACATGCGAAAGCAGATTATCCCCTGAACGCTATTGATACGAGAACGGCGATAAGAAGAACGTCATCGTTAATGTGCGCGTGACGTCTGTTGATTGAAAGGAGATTTCACGGGTGTCGCACTGAAGAAATCTCTTTCTGTCGGGTAAACAGCCAGGAGCCGGTCGGATAGAAAATGTCAATAGCCTTCCTAACGGGTGAACGGAGGACGTCGAATCTCTTTGTCCGTTAACGATGAGATTATTTTTTCAATAGCCGGATCAAAAGAGGCGTTCTTCCTCCTTCTTCCTTCTTCCCCTAAGGATTAGTACTTACAAGAAGTATTTACTCTCTTGTATTTCAATTTCAAATTGCCCATTTCTGGCGGGAGCTTCAAAACAGAGTAAA